AAGGAGGCTAGTGTCACTGGATTGCAGAAGTGTGTGTGTGTGTGAGATGAAGGCTTTTGAACGAATGTTCAACAGAGGATTTTATTTTTGATCTTGGAAGTGGTAGGGAGCCATTGGAGTTTATTGAGGGGAAGGAGGGAAGAGGTAGCATGGTCAGAGGTACAGCATCATTTTGTATAGGAGCCAAGACAGAAGATGGTGGGAGTGATCCAAGGCTGAGGTAGAGAAGATTGGTGATACAATAAAAGGGCAGCAGGGGACTCAAGTAAAGAGGAAAGTAATAGAGTTGATCTGGTTCTCCAGGAACTCAAGATGGTGAAGGGAGGAGAGTATAGATAATGCTGGGGTAATGGCCTGGGAAAGAACTGAGGAGGTCCAGGGATTAGAGGTTACAGTGTAGGTGAAGAACAGGGTTTGGGGTTGTAAGGCAAAGGGAGAGGAAGAATGATGAGATTGTGATCAGATAAAGGGATTTCAGAGCTCATGAACAGAGAAATGGTATGTTTCTGGATGATGGCAAGATCAAGGAGAATATGACCATTTTGTGTGGGGGTGGAGGAGTAGATTATGAGAAATGAGTAAGTTGAGGAGCTGTGAGGTTAGGGTATTTGAGGAAGTATGAATATGTTTGTTGACATCCTCTAGTCTGACAGCAGAAGATGAGGAGGAGAGAAAGACTGTGAGTTAGGGATTGAAGTGATTGAGGAAAAGAATGGGAGTGTCCTGGAGGTCAGTAAACCACAGCTACCAGAATTTGGATTGGGTTGTAGGTAGGGATTGAATGAATCTCAAAGGAGAACTTACTGAGTGATAGTAGTAGTGGAAGAACCTGGAAGTGGAAATGAGATGCAGGGAGTATTCCAACTCCCCATCTCAACCAGTGAGTCGGTGGGGTCGGGGGTGTGGGGGGAGATGGGCAGGTTATAAGTTACAGTGCAGCTAGTACTGGAAAGGGAGGCCAGAAAAACTGTGTTGTGTGGAGAAAGCCAGGTTTCCGTGAGAGCCAGTAGATGGAAGAATGGGAAAGGAAAAGATTTAAGGTGAAAGTGAGTTTATATGTGTGGAGTAGGTGTTCCAAAGAGCTCAGTGGAAGGGGCAGGTAGCTTTAGAGTGGGACATTGGTGGGGTTTGGTGTAAAGAAGTGGGACTAAGAGATTGGGCAGTGTGGGAGAGGAGCAGGATGATGATCCTTGAGGGTTCAGAGTCACTGGAATGGGGAAGGTATGAACAGTGAGGGGTTTGTTATTCATCAAGGAGTTAGTTTAGGTGGATTTTCAGTGTCCTGAGGAGTTTGATTTCAGAGTGGAGTCCACCCAGGGCTTTATACGATTCTGGCAAAGGGACAGGTTCTTGGCCTTGAAGGAATGGTGTTACTGTCCTTTCCTCAGGGTAGGAGACCAAACTGATGACTTGACTTGATAGAATGCCATTTCTCATCTTCCCAAGGGAAGCTGGAGACCAGGCAGGGGACCTGGCCTGTTGGAATGGTGTTTTTTCCCTTTACTGTTTATCCTCTGAAAGGAGTATCCTTTAACTTCTACAGTAGCAGTTTTAGCTTATCCAGGGAGAAGAGGAGGATGTACTTTGAGTAAGTCCTAACCTTTGACCCCATATTTATATCATTATTGTTACTTCTTACCTTGACCCATGAACATGATTTAGGCTAAAATTTTGGGGATGTTTCTTACTGTCTAATGATGGGATAGGAGAACAAAGAGTCAATGAATAGAAGTTTTCATTTAACTCCTCAGGACATTGGTAATCCTCAACCATTGTGATTTCCAGTGCTGAAAAGCCTCTGTTTCTCTGGTACTATAGACAGGCTCGCTGTACTCCCCATAGACTCAGAGGCTGAGCTGACTAAGAAGGTAAATAAATTCTTACTGTGATAATACATAGAATAAGTTGGAAAATACTTTATTTATTTTAGAAAGCATTGTACTGTTGACATCCCAGAATTGTGCCTGAATTGTGCTCTTTTGAAACCAAAACTCAAAAGAGACCGGAAATTTTAATTCTCACCGGGAAAAAAAAAATGTGAACCTACTTCTTAGTGTATTTAACATGCCCTTAAATTTTTTATTTCAATATTTCATTTAATCTGTGCCAACAGACCCCATTTGCTTTTTGTTGGTTGGATGAGTTTTTCTAATAGTTGTACTATTTTTTTATCTGCGTGCGACCACAATGTCAGGCAGAGTGTAAAAGCAGCCAGGGCCCAACAATTGTCCAGGACAGTTCAGATGATGGTCTAAAAGTAATGTAGGACAAGCAGCTAGAGGTTCTTTTATCCTGACTCTTGTGTTGTGCTCTTTAGAATGGTGCCAACATTTTCCAACAAGATTTTGAATGACGCCTTTGGTATCTTTTGTTTTTCGTCCTTTTGAAGGATCATTGAAGAGGTAAAATAACCGAACAGTTGTCATCACCCACTTGTGTGTAGTAAAAGGACATTATTCAGAAAAGAGTGAAACTAGTTAAATCAAAATTGGAAAATGAGCTTGAAAATTGAAAAGCACAACATAATCTTGCATTTCTGGTATACAGTTAGTATGTGAAACTGCTTGTAGAACTTAACTGGCTTTTTCAGGTGACTTTTTAAGTATTTGTGGCCAAGGTGTATATGTGGATAGAATGTAAATTCATGGAGAGCTGATAACTTGCACGTGCTTAATAACTGCTTATTGCCTGTAACACAGTTGTTTTCTAAGTCACCTACGTAAAATGACAAATTTAAGGCCCTCGTATGTACTAGACATTGTATTAGGTGCTGGGAATATAAATAAAGGCAGAAGACAAGTCCCTGCTCTTAAGGACCTCCTAATCTAATGGGAGAATAAACAAGCAGACAACTATGTATAAACTAGATTTGTATGGGATAAAGTAGAAATCATCCCAGAAGGAAGGCACTAACAGTAAGGAAGACTGGGAATGGCCACTTTTTTTTTTGGAGGGGGGAGGCAATTGGGATTAAGTGACTTGCCCAGCTAGGGTCACTTGGCTAAGTGTCTGAGGCTGGATTTGAACTCAAGTCCTCCCGACTCTAGGGCGGGTACGCTATCCACTGTGCCACCTACCCGCCCTGTGGGAAAGGCTTTTTGAAAAAAGGTAGGATTCTATCTAAAACTCTCAATAGGCTAGGGAAGCCAGGAAGCAGGGTAGGGACAGCCAGTGAAAATGCATAGAATGGGAGGGGTAGGTGGATTGTTTTGTTCGAGGAACAGCAAAGAAGACAGGGTGACAATTGCCAGTGTAAATACAGTCCCTGGAGGGGAGTAAGGTATAAGAAGACTGATGAGGTTGGGAGCCAAACAGAGAATTTGATATTTTGATCTTGAAGGCAATAGGGAGACGCTGGGGTTTATAGAATAGGAGAGCGAGATGGTCACACCAACGCTTTAAGAAAATCGCTTTGATATCTCAATGCAGGACGGACCAGAAGGGTCCAGGAAGTGTCTGGGGGCCTAAGGAGACTCAGTCACTTGGACATTGTCTAAGCAGAAAAATACCTACGTTTAAAATAACTCACACGAATAAAAATTGTTATTGACAGGCTTGTGCCTACAATGGAGGGCACAGAATTTTCTTCCACAGTTTTATTAGCTAAGTGGCACAGTGAATAGAGTGTTGGACCTGGAGTCAGGAAGACTTGAGTTCATATGCACCCTCAGATGCTTATTAACTGTATGACCCTGGGCAAGTCAGTTAATCTCTGCCACCCTCCTCGGTTGTTGTGAGCATTAAATGGGATATTTGTAACACACTTAGCACAGTGCTTGGCACACAGTAGGTCCTTAATAAGTGTTTATTACTTTTACCTCTTATCCCTTCCACCATTTTAAACAAAGATACCATCTATGTCTTCATCCAAGTCATTGATAAAATAAGAAGCCCATTGCCAAGCATGGTAATGGTACTCCACTGGACATCTTTTGCCACATTGATGTTGAACCATTTACAACTGCTCTTTAAGTCTGTACATCTGAACAGCTCTGAATCCTCAGGAAAGTGTTTGCCTGTAAGCCTCTGGTTTAATGCATTTCCAGCTCTTTGGCTAGTCAGGCCCATACACTTTACCCAAGAAGTCTCCACTGTTTGTGTGGCTCTCCCCTGACCAATAGTTCTGAGGTCTTCCTCTTCTCTGAGCTTGGCTGAAGGCATCCCTTAATCTTTGCTCTGCCTGCCTTAGAATACAGGCTGCCTACCCCTGCTCCCCTGACTGCTCGGAGATTCTTTGGGTGTGACTTTGAGACTTGAGATCACTACTGTACTCTACTGGTACTGCTTCCAGCTTCCTTTCCAGCTCCTTTCTGATACAAAGTTTATATGGGAACATAAAGGAATGTGATAAGCTCAAGTTTTTGGAAAGTAAGATACTAATTTTGATCTCCTTTCAACTAACATTTCCCCAGATGGCTATATCTGAAAATGATGGGGATTACTTAGCATATATTTTTAAAAAATCAGATCTATAATTTCATAGGTATAGGAAGCTCCCTTGAAGAACTTCCTTGACAAGTGCTGGCCTTAACCTTCGTTTTCTGAAGCTTAGAGCTTTAAAATACATTACAGGTCTTACTGACTTTTTGAAGGAAGCTATCCCCTGGAGCCACCTAGCTTTTAACTTAGTATGTTATTTTCTAAATATTTTGACTAGGAAACAAAAGGAAAAAAGGGTGGGATAGGGAGATAAAACAAAGATTTTCTATTTTCCCTAGTTTCATTCAGTAGCTAGAAAGATTAATGTATGTTTACTAAATTGTCAGTGCTACTAGCACCAACCTTGTCATATAAGAAACCTATAATTACCTATAAATTACCCTCAAATTTGGTATTTAAAATTTGGTCACTAATAAGGTCTGTATTAGCCAGTTTTTCCTTCTGTGGGACATTGTTTAGTGGCAAATGTTTTATCATTTATTGTCTTTTCCCTTGTTTTATCCAAACTTTGTTACCATCTCATTTTTCAAATATGTCAACTCTTGCACCTGTTTTTGTAGGTACAATGGTGCACTTCCTAATGGAGACCGAGGACGTAGGAAAAGCAGGTTTGCTCTTTACAAACGCTCAAAGGCTAATGGAGTCAAGCCAAGCACTGTTCATGTAATATCAACACCTCAGGCGTCCACGGTATGTGACAGTGGAGAAGAGTGGGTATGTCAGAATAAATTATTCTGGGTGATGTTTAATCCTCCTTAGCTGATTTCCTTCTTTTCAATCATTGTTCTTTTAGGAGATAATGAAAATCATGCATATCGTATTCAATTTAGTTATAAGTGTTAGAGAGAAAGATTCTATTGTTTCCAGTAAATATTTCATAGTGTCTTACTTTGAACCAGTTTATTTACATTCATAAGACTATATATATATATATATATATATATATATATATATATATATATGTCAGTATTATTATTGAGTCTGTAATTGTTTGACTATTAAATTGACCACAACTTGTGCTACTGGGAGTTGCATTTGCTGTATACTATTTCAGAATTTTAAGAATAGTTTTAAAATTTGTTTTCTGGCATTTAGGGAGAAAAAAAAACCCAGGCCATAGCTATAATTGACAGTTTCTATTCTGTTTGGTTAGTTTCAGATTCATAGATTCCTTTGCTAGAAAATGTTGACAATAAAGTATAAAAGTTTTTGATAGCTTCATGATAATACATGTAATGTTTATGTCTCTTTCTAAAGCCTTGGAAACACAATTCTACCAAATTGTCCTATTCCTGTTTTTGGGACATTGTAGATGAGGTTTTTATAAAGTACTAGTTTGGGTTGTTTTTAATGAGGAACAGTATATACCATATTGAAATTAAAAGTTGAAGAAATACTGAAAATCAAAACCAATATTTAGCCTTAAGTGTTTGGTAAGAAAAAGAGAAACTAATTTTAATTATAGGCAATTTGGAGTGAAATCAAAAGAAACCCACCTTTGAAAAGATTCTGAGAAAATGAGGCAAGATATAAAAAGAAATCTGGAAGGTCAAAAAATGTAGAAAACATTTTGTGGAAAAAATAGTTTTTAGATACTTGGTGAGTGAGGTATTATCATTGATATTGTCATCATGATATTCCTTTTTCACTGTTCTGCAGTTTTAAAAATATATCCCTTATTTTATCACTAATATATTGTTATAATACCTTTTAAATTTTTTTCTTATTATGACCTTAATAAACATCAGAAAATGAACATTTCTGTAGGCAGAGAAAAATAAAAGTATTTGAAGCTGTGAACTTGAATTATGTTCTGTGCATTTTTCCACTATGAACATAATTCTGACTCATCATAGTAGTTACAACACTGTTCTGCTTGTGAATTTTGAATTTCCTTCTGCTTTCCTCTATTCATATTTTAAATGATTCATCGATATGCTTTTCTTTCTCTTTTTTTGACATTATCTTACATATTCCACCCTCATCTCACCCCCCTCAAATAAAAGAAAAACCTTTGAGAAAAATAAATAGAACCCCGGAAGACAGACTTAAACAGGTTATATCTAAAAATGTGGCTTATTCCACACCTGTACTTGGCTCATTCCACACTATTACCTCCAGGCCAGGAGTTGGGAATTATGATTTGTCATCATTCTCCTGGAGTCCTAATTTTGCTCATTGTATTAATCATAGGCCAAATGTCTTCCACAGTTGTTTCCCTTTACAATATTATAGTGTTTGTACACATTGTTCCCTTGGTTCTGTTCACTTCATTTTGTATCAGTTCATAAAAGTCCTCCAGGATTTCTCCACAACCCCTCCCTTTCAATCATTTTTTATGGCACAGTGTTTTTTGTTTTTTTGGGGTTTTTTTTGAGAGGCAAGTGGGGTTAAGTTACTTGCACAGGGTCACACAGCTAATAAGTGTTGATGTCAGGTGTCTGGTCTGAGACTGGATTTGAACTCAGGTCCTCCTGACTTCAGGGCTGGTGCTCTATCTACTGCGCCACCTAGTTGCCCCACAGTGATATTATTTTTACATTCATATGCCTTATATGATTTGTTAAAACCTTTGTCATTGTTGCCCAAGCATAGCCATCCAATTTGTTTCCAGTTCTTTGCTACAACAACAAATGCTGCTATAAATAGTTTTATACCTATGGCTCTTTTCCTTCTTTCTTGGATCTTTTTGGATCTTATTAATGTCTTAGAGTAATATTGCTGGATCAAAGCAGGGTGACTTTTTGGGTGTAGTTCCAAATTGCTTTCCAGAATGGTTGAACCACTTTACAGGTCCACTAACAGTGCGTTAGTGTGTATATCTTCCCATAATTCCTTCAACAAATATATATTTTGTTTTTTAATTATTATTTACCTATCTCATGGGTTTGTGGTGGAACTTCAGAGTTATTTTAAGTTACATTTCTATTATTAGTTATTTGGATAATTTTTTTTTTCATATGGTTGTCAATAGTTTGTTGTCTTTTGAGTATTCAAGTACTATGATTCTATGATATTCTGGGGATTAATTTCATTCTTACCCTGCTTCTTCCATGTATTTTGTATAGTAGACCTTTATCATGGAATTTGCTATAAAAATTTTTTCCCATTAATCATTTCCCCTTTAATGCTAACTGCAATATTTTGTCATATGTAAAACTTCTTAAAATCTTATGCATTCTACATTATCCAATTTGACTTCTGTGATCTTTCTCCCCTTGTTTGGTCAAGAACTTTTTATCACTTTATAGTTGTGAAAGGTATCTCCTTCTCTCTTCTAATTTGTTTACTACACGACCTTTATTATCTAGTTCTTATATTTATTTGGAGCTTATTATATTGGTACATGGTATTAGATGTTGATTTAAGTTTAATTTCTGACAAACTGCATTTCAGCTTTTGTATTTTTTTTGTTTTTCCAAATACTGAATCTTTGCTTTGAAGAGTTGGAATCTTTACATTTATCAGTCACTGTGCTACTATATTCAATTGCTTCTGGGTCTTGTGTACATATGCTGGTTTTTTGTTTTTTCTTTTTTTTTGGTCAGGCAGAGGATAGATGGTCACTTGTTGAATGTATGAGAATTCCTTTTGTATATGGATTGGACTGGATGGCTGCTGGGGACCCTTATAACTCTCAAATTCTGTGATTAACTTTTAAAGTTTTTAACCAACACCACCTTTCCTCCCCTTATTTCCTTTGAGATTCTGGTTTTTCCTAGTTCTGTAAAGTAACCCTTCAGTAGTTTAATTGGTGTGGTCCTGAGTATTGTAGGTTTAGGCAGTGTTATCTTTTAAAATTTTATTAGCATGGTCCAACCATGAACAAATATGTCTCTGTGCTTATGTTTCTACAAAGAGTGTTTTAAAATTGTATTGGTATAATTCTTGTATGTATGTTGATAGCCAGACTCTTATATTTTATATGTTCTCTAGTTCATTTGGATGGATTTCTTTTCTTTCTTTTCCTACTGACTTTTCTTGGTAAGCAAGCAGAAAGACTGTTGATTTGTGTAGGTTTACTTTATAGTTTGCTGCTTTCCTGAAGTTATTAATTGTTTCAGTTAATTTTTTAGTTAACTCTAGCATTCTGTAAATATACCATCATATTATCGACCAAAAGTGGTAATTTCTTTTTCTCTTCTTGTTACCTCAATTTCTTTTTCTTGTCTAATTTCTATAACTAGCATTTGCTATGACTATATCAGATGACAATGACGACAATGGGCCATCTGTTGCTTTACCCTCAGTCTTATTGGAAAGGCCTTTATCATCACTCCATCATAGATAATGCTAGTTCTTGGTTTTAGGTAGTTATTCTTTACCGTATTAAGTAACAGTCTATTTATTCCTGTGCTTTTTAACATTTTGAACATAAGTGAATATCATATTGTAAAAAAGCCTTATATTTATTGATTTAATCATGTCACATATTTATTTCATTAGTAATTCAACATATTGTTTTTATATCTTTCCTAATACTGGACCAATCTTGAATTTTTGGTTTAAATCCAACCTGGCCATAGTGTATAATCATGTTTAATAGATGTAGGCAGTTTTTAAAATGCTTTCTTGAAATAAAGTATCCAAGTTTTTTTTCTTGATCATGATTTTCAGAGAGTCTGATTATTCTTAATTTAACCTCGTCTGGCCCAGTTTTCTACATCATTTGTTATATAGAAACTCTTAAGAAAAGTTTTTTTCTAATTTTCCATCTCTTGACTTTGGTCTAATATTTCTTCTTACCATAGAATCATTCAATTCTGATTTCTCCAATATTTTGTCTTCTGAGCTATTTATTCTCCTTTCAGTATTTTCCTCTCAAATTCTTATTTTATTCTTTCATTTTTTTTAATCTGCTGCCCTCCCCCCTTTTTTAGCAACTTTTTTTACCCTTGTGACTATACCATTTAATTTTATGAGGTTCATTTTGTAATTGTTGTGAGGTTACTCTATTCTTCTGGATTTACTTCTTGTGTTTCTCTTAACCCATAGTATTTCTTCAGTGTTTGGTATTTTATTCTGTTTATTCATATATTCAGTCTTCTCCTTCCTCTTTTGGGATTTGGTGCTTGGACTATTCTTTTCTGGTTCTCTCTAGTATATTTAGATCTTCTGTATAGTTTAACCAGTGTTTGTAATCTAAATGTAAGAATCCTTGCTTGGAACTGAATCATCAATCTTGATATGCTCTTTATAACTGATATTTAGAATAAAGAAGAAAGTTAACAGCAAAATGAAAGAATGTCTCACAGGTTTTCCTTCGAGAGTCAGTTAAAGGAGTTTTAGGAGCTGGTTGGTTTTATTGTGTATCCAGAGGTAACAAGAAACATCATTTTTTAGTACATTTGGTCATTTTATATTTCTGTGCTATTTAAGTATTTGTAAAGAAGACCACCATGAAAATCTAGTTACATTAACAAGCATTTATTAATGTCTACTAAGTGCCAGGCTTTGTACTAAGTGTTGATGATACAAAGAAAGGCAGAAACCAGCCCCTGTTCTCAAGGAGTTTGCAGGCTAATGGGAAAGAACTATTATAGATAATGCATCAATATCTGTTACAGTAATAAGGTAGAGAAAATAGATGAAGGATTCCTACCAAATTCTTTTTATGATGTAAATATGGTGCTGATACCTAAACCGGAAAGAACCAAAACAGAGAAAGAAAATTACAGATCAGTTTCCCTAATGAATATAAATGCAAAAATTTT